ATACCGAATCTTCGCATTCCTAATGCTCACACGCACGCACAATGATTGTACCAAGATAATAATCGAATTACTAAAGGAATACAAGTTTTGTATATTTCTTCTTCGCTTTATGAAGAAATCAAAATGAAAACGAACTTGTTTTAATATTTTCTGCAGCTACAGAGACCTACTTTTATTGCGGCTTTATGTTATCGACGTTGTAATTGGCTTCGCGGTAAATTCTACTTATTTTACTGAAAAATTTATGAAAAAATAAGCCGCTCGTGCACACTTCCCTAGAGAAATTGATGTGTAAATAGCGTGCGTAAAATAAGCTAATACCGACCTACGTATAATTAAACGTAACTACTCGTAATTTTGTTTACCGATACCGACATTTTATTCCCTCCTGTGTTTTCATGCTTAAAATTATAATATCATGTGTTACCATTTGCCTGCACGGATATCTAACAATGGAATCTATACGGCGTATCTAAAAATAAATTGTAGTGGTTCTCTTAAATGTATCGTAACATATTCCTCGATAATGAAGAAATTATGGTTCTTACAAATTATCAACATAATTTGTAACTGTTAATTCGATAGAACGTTTCTGACGGAAAATGTCAGTCAGTCAAAGCGGCAGGTGATAATAGAAAGACTCGTGGGTGTTCGCGAGCCATGGGTGCCGTTGCACACCGCAGGGATCGTTAAACCGGCGCGTCTTTTGGCGGAAATAACGCGGTGCAATAAGGCGCGATGCCAAAGCGATAATCCTCGCGTGCGAGGACTCCGCGAAATGCGCACTACGACCACCCGCGGCCGCTGTTCAATTCATGATTTCTCGGTCCTCGCGCAGGGTACCGAGACAAAGGAGCTGGTTAAAATGTATGAATCGCTCGATTCTTTCACGGAGATCTGCCTCTACCGTGATTGATGATGCGTATTGTCCGATTTGCTGCATTCAGATTTTCGTTACGAGGCCATTGATAATGTCTGCACGTTTCAGAATTTGTTTCACATTTCAATTTATAAATGTATTTACTGGTGAAATTTATTACAAGCTGAACTTTATTATACGATGTGCTCTGATCATATTTTTTTTATGAAAATCATCTTAAATTTTTACACGAATTTAAATCATATTTTATTATTTAAAAATCGTAGTATTTGCTGTACAAATTCGATTGCTGTTAGATTGCTGTATCTCGTAGGTTCAATACTACGATTGTACCACTGAACGAGAACATTTTGTAGGACAATTTAGCAAAGCGAAGGAAGCCAATCGGAAGATCATCACTGACGTAAACTAAATGCGCGCCGATACGGCTGCTTGGCCATGGGTAGGTCAACCCGTATCAATGGCTGTCCCAACCCCGTCGACAGTGTTTAATCGTAAATTTGCATACCTCCTGAGGTACAAGTGCATTTCGAATTCGACTAACGGTTACAACAGACTTGCGATAAGTAATCCCTGGGAACTAAACTGTGAACCGTTTTGTAACACCATAATCAGGGTTAACCCGATGGATCACACTCTGTCGTGGATTAAATATTCAAGCTGATACCAGAAATTCAACATTCACGATCAGGAGTTCAACAAATTCTACGTGCACATTCGATCAAGAAAAAAATCGGTGCATTTTACAATAAATATAAACCGTATCTGAAGCCCCATAATCTATTAAATCGTCCGCAACGCGATATTTCCCAATTTTCAACAAGAATGTGTATTTATACAACGTAAACGACTTTAATTATCTGCACGTAATATCCGAAATAGCCGATATCGCCTCGTGCAGGGCAAAACAGCTGGTCATTTTCGTCGATTTTTCATCGAGTTCTGGCCACGCCAGGAATTTCAACCAGGCTCCACAAATTTTTGCGTGAAAAACTTAATTAGCGATCGTCCTAAACCTCGAGCACATAACGTTCCTCTCTCTCTCTCTCTCTTTCTCTGTCTAAGTTGTACTCNTAGTATTTGCTGTACAAATTCGATTGCTGTTAGATTGCTGTATCTCGTAGGTTCAATACTACGATTGTACCACTGAACGAGAACATTTTGTAGGACAATTTAGCAAAGCGAAGGAAGCCAATCGGAAGATCATCACTGACGTAAACTAAATGCGCGCCGATACGGCTGCTTGGCCATGGGTAGGTCAACCCGTATCAATGGCTGTCCCAACCCCGTCGACAGTGTTTAATCGTAAATTTGCATACCTCCTGAGGTACAAGTGCATTTCGAATTCGACTAACGGTTACAACAGACTTGCGATAAGTAATCCCTGGGAACTAAACTGTGAACCGTTTTGTAACACCATAATCAGGGTTAACCCGATGGATCACACTCTGTCGTGGATTAAATATTCAAGCTGATACCAGAAATTCAACATTCACGATCAGGAGTTCAACAAATTCTACGTGCACATTCGATCAAGAAAAAAATCGGTGCATTTTACAATAAATATAAACCGTATCTGAAGCCCCATAATCTATTAAATCGTCCGCAACGCGATATTTCCCAATTTTCAACAAGAATGTGTATTTATACAACGTAAACGACTTTAATTATCTGCACGTAATATCCGAAATAGCCGATATCGCCTCGTGCAGGGCAAAACAGCTGGTCATTTTCGTCGATTTTTCATCGAGTTCTGGCCACGCCAGGAATTTCAACCAGGCTCCACAAATTTTTGCGTGAAAAACTTAATTAGCGATCGTCCTAAACCTCGAGCACATAACGTTCCTCTCTCTCTCTCTCTCTCTCTCTCTCTAAGTTGTACTCAGTCAGACATCTGCTAACAACGCAACAAAACGACCGTTTATAATGTACGACCGCAGCGCGCTCGAGGGGGCGAACCACCCCTAACCCTTTTGGCCACCTCTCGCTGCAATTTCCCCCACTACGCATACCACCGCTGCGGCATAAATCCCGAGCAGAGGGAATATTACGTTCTGGCGGTCGCGAAAGAACTTTAAACCGGCCCCGACTAACCCCAGCGATAGCTAAACCCACGTTTTTAACTGCACCCACGAATAATCGTGGGAGTATTCCGGTTTCTACGTTCGTTGCCTTCCCTCGCCTTTTTTTAAAAAGGTTACACCACCGTTCAAACGACTGAACCATGCTAAAATGTAATTTTTATAACTTTTTTTCCCTATATGTATTTTAGCAAATTATCCTTCATCACTCGATTTACGATAAGGAAACGCTTTATTAAACTTCAATTTTTTAACTTCAAACTGTGCCCCGTTCGCACGCGAAATTTTGTTGCAAGTCACTCGATGGATTTATCGACTGCATCGAGTCAAATATCATCACTCATTGGACAAAGATACTTGACCATCCAAAAATGTATTCTAATTAAGAAAAAATAAATCTAATCCACTCACGTACATAGTATATTTTATGTCGCGAGTACTCAATGAGTAATAAATCGTAAATGAGAAGTATTAACTATGTTTCATAAAGTTATTGTGTGTCGACAAATTAACTTTCAGGCTGTGTTCTAAATAAATTACGGAGCTAATTACCGCGCCGGGTATTGTGCGTTTTTGCACAATGCGTCTTCATTGGAAACAAATCTCAACACAAAAGGATAAATTACGGCCCAGTCAGAACTGCGGCATCGCTTTTGAATTTCCGGCTTGAATCCCATTCCTACACTGTGCCGGGACGTCCTTTGTACTTTAAATTGTTCGACCATGTTCCCCGCGATTGCGTCCATCTCTTTCTCTCTGTATCGCGCGGTTGAATATTAAATGAGCACTAATAACTAGTTAATTTTCATCACGCTCGAAAAACACTGGAACTTTCCTTTTCGAAGAACGGGAAAATTGTGCTACAAGAATTACGTTAATCGCGATAGAAGAAGAACTTCGCTTCATCGAGATTCCCCTCTTGGCTCCATCCCACTTTTTCTATGTTCTTTATAAAATGAAATTGTTTCTTTTTATGCCCCAAGTTCTTGATTTCACTTCTTTTGTTGCTGAATCGTTAATTTACTTTTAACTCTAGTTTTACTGTACCACTTCTGATTCTACTTTAAAAACTGTACGGGAGAATAAAAAAGATAAACGCTTCTACTTCGCACGTTCTCTCGCGACGAAAAAGTTTGATGGAATTAAGGATAATGAATAAAACGACTGTAATCTAGAGACAAAGTGAGCTTCGATCGAGTGATGTATTTTTCTTTCGAACTCGATAATTCTGATACCTTAACTTCAACTTTATATATTTTGCTAATAACAAATTTAGCGTCCATTAATCTGAGACGAAGGAGTCTGTTCGGAAGTGAACTGGGATTACCGCGTACGCCTTTTTCCCAGTTATAACGCGGAAAATTGAACGAACTACCATAACTTAAGAGGCTTTAACTACGAACTGTATCCAGGAGGATCTGCATTCTACGGTGAAGATCAATTAATCAAACTAACGAGCCACGGTATATCTTACTCTACGCTGTAGTACCTGGGTAGCTAAGATTAGAAAGAGTGCAAGCAATTCACTGATTAATCGCACCGTCGACGTCGTTTCAAATTCCATCAGTTTCACCCATAAATAATTGTCCATGATATATGTTACAGCCAGTTACTGTTAAAAACAGTTACCCTTCGGAAAGTAAAAAATAAGAACAATTATTAATTTGGATCATCGTCTGTTCTGTTGAATCATAAATTATTTAAGAAACTCATGAGATGCAAGAAAATTGATAACATCTGGCAAGCATTGTGACACATCGGACTGTTAACTAATGACATAAACATTTACATTCGAGAGGATGTAAAATATTAGTCGCATTCGATTGTGCGAATTTCAATGAAGTGTGATCGATAAATGGTGTTCTAGTAAAGAAATGTGGGTGACTGGTCCAGGTGCACAAGATTTATACGACATTGTACGGAATGCATTAACGAGGGAGAGAGGGCTACGATCTACCGATCAATACTAGCAATACCTCTACCTAGGGCCGGGCCACATTACCGTGGACCCCTTTAGCTTAGTAATTAGCGTGACTCACTGTACTCCCACGCCCAGTAATCACCAGCACCCGCCGTAGGCAGCACCGTGCTCCATGCTTCTATGCGTAAACAGAAAGAAGGAGAGAAGGAAAGTAAAAAACTGAACCATGCTTCGTAAATGAATTCTGCGAGATTTCCACCTGGACAGGTGTACATATGTACCACACATATGTACCTCGTTTCGATTTCGATATGAGGCAAATGACGACTATAATTAATAAATAATGAGAATTGTATTTCATGTAAATGAATTCTTGAAGCAGGATAAAAATTATTTTCATCCAAGAGAAGATTAAATATCCTGCTTTAAGAAGAATCTATAAAGAATTTGTGATAATAAAATGTTCTGGTTTCTATAAGAATCATTTTACCAGTTTTTATCATGACCCTATCTTATTTTGCTCTATCATCTAAAAATGGTCATGCACAACTCGTGGAAATAAAAATTCAATACCTCTCCGTCTGCAATCCGAACAGTTTCTCAGACACAAATTGTTAGTGACTCACCCGGTGAATAAAACACTTCTAGCTGGAAGATACAGTGGCTGATGCGCAATCGAAAATACATTATCCAGCGCTTCTCCTTCGCGTTAGACGAGTTATCGCGGTTTCGTGCCTCGTAAAAATCATAATCCGTTCCCAGGTTCGTACACAAACCACCCACACTCGCCGCGTATCGATCGATGCATCGACCAATTTCACCAGGGGATTCCACGAAAAACGTTAAGCGTGTCCTAATATCCGCGGCGAGTGGAACGTGTGCCGCGTTTTAAATTTCACCGACGATGATCAAAGGCTGATAAAACGGTTGCCGATGGACCAATTTTTCTTCTCGACCAGCGTGTACAACGATTCAATATCCCCCCCTCCTCCATGCTTGTATCTCCTTTTTATTTCAATTCGGTACACGCTGAAACGGGCGACCACGCGGAAATTAATGGCCGGCTGATATTCGGCCAATGTAATCATTATCATGTTTGTAAAATCCGACAACGAAACGCGACTATTCCGGTCGAATTAATTGAACGTTTATAGCCGGACATTACAGACAGATCATGGTCGGATCGGTAAACCGTAACTAAACGGTACTACAAACTAGTTGATGCACTCAAAATTTGTGTCGTTAATCTTTGCGGTGGTCATGTTTTATTCAAACCCGGTTCACCGTGATTTCCACGGAATAAATGATAGATCAAATCGAATAGATATTGAACGCATCACCGCGAACAATTAGCGAAAAACGTCCTAGAAAATAATACGTCGTACAAATGCATAAAATAAAGAATTATGATCGATGTTCGTTGGAGATAAAAATCGTAACTTATACTGCGTCGCGGTTCTCGATTCTCGCTTCTCTTAACACACGGGAAAGATAATTGTCGAAGATAAATTCATTAAAAGACGACGGAACTACGCCGGAAGTTGCGGAGCAGCGCGGAAGGTTAGGCGTAGCATTCGTACGCTCCGGAGGCGGAACTGGGTCAACAATCAACGGTCTTAAGGAGCGAAATACCACCTCCGCAATTTAGCAAGCCTGATGTTCGCGTTTCTCATTTACCGGTATCCGCTAATTCGTCTATCTCGTTTAACTATTTCATTGTGCTGACAAATGTTTTGTTAATTCACCGCGTGCATATAACGCGTATTTCCTCGGCGGCGGCCCCGTGTTCGCGAAATCCACGCCGGGCCCTCGGCAAGACAAATAGGAAACTATTTGTCATTACAAGTTCCCGGTCTTATTGCACTTTAGGGAGAAAAATCGTATTCAACGTCTGACGCCGGCATCCGTGCGCGAAATATAAATTCACCGCGTTATAAGTTCGAACGTATCTGTCTATACAACACTTAAGCGAGACTTTATTAAAGCGACGATCTATGGAGGACGAAATTTAAATGCAGCAAACAACTGGTACCAACGTCGCCGATGTGCACACGNGTTTCTATAAGAATCATTTTACCAGTTTTTATCATGACCCTATCTTATTTTGCTCTATCATCTAAAAATGGTCATGCACAACTCGTGGAAATAAAAATTCAATACCTCTCCGTCTGCAATCCGAACAGTTTCTCAGACACAAATTGTTAGTGACTCACCCGGTGAATAAAACACTTCTAGCTGGAAGATACAGTGGCTGATGCGCAATCGAAAATACATTATCCAGCGCTTCTCCTTCGCGTTAGACGAGTTATCGCGGTTTCGTGCCTCGTAAAAATCATAATCCGTTCCCAGGTTCGTACACAAACCACCCACACTCGCCGCGTATCGATCGATGCATCGACCAATTTCACCAGGGGATTCCACGAAAAACGTTAAGCGTGTCCTAATATCCGCGGCGAGTGGAACGTGTGCCGCGTTTTAAATTTCACCGACGATGATCAAAGGCTGATAAAACGGTTGCCGATGGACCAATTTTTCTTCTCGACCAGCGTGTACAACGATTCAATATCCCCCCCTCCTCCATGCTTGTATCTCCTTTTTATTTCAATTCGGTACACGCTGAAACGGGCGACCACGCGGAAATTAATGGCCGGCTGATATTCGGCCAATGTAATCATTATCATGTTTGTAAAATCCGACAACGAAACGCGACTATTCCGGTCGAATTAATTGAACGTTTATAGCCGGACATTACAGACAGATCATGGTCGGATCGGTAAACCGTAACTAAACGGTACTACAAACTAGTTGATGCACTCAAAATTTGTGTCGTTAATCTTTGCGGTGGTCATGTTTTATTCAAACCCGGTTCACCGTGATTTCCACGGAATAAATGATAGATCAAATCGAATAGATATTGAACGCATCACCGCGAACAATTAGCGAAAAACGTCCTAGAAAATAATACGTCGTACAAATGCATAAAATAAAGAATTATGATCGATGTTCGTTGGAGATAAAAATCGTAACTTATACTGCGTCGCGGTTCTCGATTCTCGCTTCTCTTAACACACGGGAAAGATAATTGTCGAAGATAAATTCATTAAAAGACGACGGAACTACGCCGGAAGTTGCGGAGCAGCGCGGAAGGTTAGGCGTAGCATTCGTACGCTCCGGAGGCGGAACTGGGTCAACAATCAACGGTCTTAAGGAGCGAAATACCACCTCCGCAATTTAGCAAGCCTGATGTTCGCGTTTCTCATTTACCGGTATCCGCTAATTCGTCTATCTCGTTTAACTATTTCATTGTGCTGACAAATGTTTTGTTAATTCACCGCGTGCATATAACGCGTATTTCCTCGGCGGCGGCCCCGTGTTCGCGAAATCCACGCCGGGCCCTCGGCAAGACAAATAGGAAACTATTTGTCATTACAAGTTCCCGGTCTTATTGCACTTTAGGGAGAAAAATCGTATTCAACGTCTGACGCCGGCATCCGTGCGCGAAATATAAATTCACCGCGTTATAAGTTCGAACGTATCTGTCTATACAACACTTAAGCGAGACTTTATTAAAGCGACGATCTATGGAGGACGAAATTTAAATGCAGCAAACAACTGGTACCAACGTCGCCGATGTGCACACGACACTTAATCAAAGATATCCGCAGTAGAAATCTTATTTCGCGGGACGCTTACTCCTGAAACGTACACTTATTACCTTATTAAGTAATCCGCGTCACAATTTCGCTGGCAACTTCATCATCATTTTTCCACGCTGTGCAGCCAATGGTGCACTCCTCCTCGTCAGAAGTACGCGGGGTAATTACGGCTGAAGTTAAGCCGGTCAGAATTCTCTGTGGAATTTTTCAACGTTCCCGTTAACAGCTTTTTCCATGGGCCACGATTGTCTCTCTCTCGTTCTCTCTCTCTCCCTCTCTCTCTCTCTGTCCGAGAGACGTTACGCGCGATATAACGTAATTTCCCTGGTTTAATGACCATGTTGAAGCCCCGTGTCAGACTTTCGCGGGGAAGAAAGAGGAGCGGACGATGAAATAGCGACGGGAACGCTGTTACTGCGACGGGAACACGGGAAGAAAAACGAACTAGAGGATTTATTAGGGTCAGAATAATCAGTCCGCCGGGATCTCTTACAAATACCGCGGCGGAGCGACGCTTTACCACCGTAGGAGAGAACCCGGCAAAGGATTCAACAACGGAAACGCGAGCAGAAAAATCCTGACGATATCTCGCTTGGGAAAAAAATTTCCCGATTACGTGACAAATTATATTCAAATAAACAGATACATTGTTACGACTAAATTTTGTACAAACTTAAAAGACAAGTAAAAAGGTCTCCGTTCAATAAAACAAGTGTTCCCATTTATTTTAATTGCATGATAAATTCCAACTATTTATTGTCTTGCGCAAAATGCCGTTGCCGTTATTTACACTAAACCCGTGTCCTAATTTAAATCCGACCGATACGATATAAATAAATAAATAACATTTTACATCTGCATATACATGCAGCGATCGGCTGAATTTATCGATTTACGAGGTTTAAATTAGGATGTAGAATAAGCTGACAGTAACTACAAGATTCCGTTATATTATACTTCATACTTAAATTGTGATCATTTATTTCTCTTTAAAATAATATGTACCTTTCTTTAATTCCGTGCAGCAGAAAGCAAACACGAGATTCGTAAAGTTCATTGCGTCGATAATCCATCTCTCTTTCTCTTTACCGCGAGCAATTTCATTACGGTTCCCTATCACTCGAAGACATCGCATTGTATCGTGGGCGTGAATTAAGAATGATTTACACGGTGAACGTGCATTGCGCCCGGCCCCCGCCCGGTAATCACGCTATAAATTCGCGGCACGAGCCGCCACGTATTTTATGCAACAATGAGCCCCGACGCGGAGGATGGGATTAATTTAAAGCATTGATACGGCCGTGAATAATAAGGAAGCGAAAACGCGTTGCCCGATAAAAGCAGATAACGGGCGTGGTCGTGAGTCGCGTGAATCGCTCGTAAAACGCGAGCCGACAATCCTTGAAATTCTCGTGAACGACTGCGGCAACCAGTAAAGTGACTGACGATGATTTTGTTGTTCCTTTGACAACTCGGTCTATTAAGGATGTACTGGCTATACAGTCAATCCCAAAAGTTTATGTACTTTAGAAAAATGTATTTCCCATAATTAAAAATAGTGCATTCTTCTTCTAATTTCGATATTTAATGAGTTAAGTATGACTATTTGGCATTTTATTGATGTTGACAAA